GTGAAGAAGCTTTTTAGTTTGAATCCATCCCGTTTATTGATTCTCAATTTTATTTCTTGAGCTTTAGAAGTCGGTTCCTAAGCCAACCTGGAGATTTGGGTCTATTTTTCTTCTAGTAKGCGCAGGGTCTCTGGTCTAATGCCTACATCCTTGATCCACCTTAAGAGTTTTGTGCATCACCTGCTCTTTTTGATCATGGGGTCATTGAGAATGATTGAGCCATTTGGCTCCTAAATATGAGTGCCATTTCCTGGTTTTTGTTTGCAGTTCTTTCATGTTTGTATTTCCACTGCCCGCCCACGTAATAAGAAGGTATGAGTTGTCATGGAAGATTTAGAGTGGGAAGTAAGGATGCAATTCATGGGAAAATTTAGTTAGAATCTTGAAATTCTTTGAGGGTTTTTTTGTCTTGTTTTGGGTTTTGGGTTCTGGGAATTGAGCCCAGGGGCACTTTACTACTGATCAACATCCCCAGCCCTTTTTTATTTTGAGACAGAGTCTTGCTAAATTGCTGAGGCTGGCCTCAAACTTTCAATCATCCTGCCTAGCCTTCTGAGCCCCTGGGATTATAGGTGTGCACCACTGCACCCAGYTTACATTCTTTACACATAAAATTTTGAGGTGTTTTGGTGGGTCTAATATACAATTGAATACACAGCTTAACATAACTATCGTCATCTCAATGGCTTGCTGGTGTCACCTCTCAACCACTCCCTTCTGGCTGTGGCTCTCAGCACCAACTCATGTGTTTTTGTTTTGGGTTTTTTCTTTTCTTCTTTTTTTTTTTTACTTTTAGTAACTTCTTTAGATTTTAAAATATAAATTCTCTCAGGTTTTTTTCCTCATTCCTCAGTTTTTTAGTTGTTTGATTTATATAAATCTTTTAAATTGTGTCAAATACATAGTCTTTGCCACTGATATTTGGGTAGAACAGAGTTGATTGGTGGGTTTCTCTGCTTTACCATTCTGTCTGGAAAACTTACCCATTCCTTTTAGGAGAAGATTACCATGATTTCTCCGGTGAAATGACCTCACCTAGAAATCTCAGGCATTGGATTTCAATTTGGAAACCCCAGGTTTTCCCACGAATGTTGATGAAGACACCAGGAAATGGTGGCCATTTCCTGAAGCTGAATGTCTGTTGCTCTGTGGGACCACCCATATAGGACAATTTTTGTTATTCTTAAAACAAACAATTGGGAGAATGAAATGTATATCTTAATCCAGTGGCATGTCTCCTGAGCTGAAATGTCCTTATTAGGATRTCAGAGAGCCAATGGTAATAAGCAGTGTCCAGGTGTGAGTGTACCACAGTGTGGTCTCCAATGTGGTGAAATTGTGTCATATCAGCCTTGCAAACTGAAGAGGAGAAAAGAGAATGTCAGAACCACTTTGTTTTTGTTTCTCTTTTTTCTTTTGGTACCAAGAATTTAATCCAGGGACACAACCACTGAGCCACATCCCTGGCCCTTTTATATTTTATTTAGAGACAAGGTCTCACTGAGTTGCTGAGGCTGGCTTTGAACTTGTGATCCTCCTGCCTCAGCCCCTCAAGCCTCTGGGATTACCAGTGTGTGCTAGCACAACTACTTCATTATTGCCGTCCAGGCTGCCACCCTTCCTTGTGAGTCCCTCCTGTCATGCTAGAGGAAGGATGCAGGGCAATCTGCCTCTCCTTGCACATCACCAATGTGATTGCTCGCCTGCAGAGTGACCCCAGTATTTGGGGGATGCCACTCATTCAGCACGTCCTTTGTATGCAGCAGAGGCACCTGTCCAGTGGTCATTTGGTGACAGCCCAGCCCTAGCTGTGGAAGAAAACTGATTATATGAGACTTACCATGGGGCAGGGTGGCTCTTTCCAGGCTAGCACCTCCTTGAGAAGATTGAGGATAATTTTAATTTCCAATCACCTCACCTGCCGATTTCAGATCATATTTCCCACAAAGGATGTTGCTTCCTTGTACCATCATCAGAGTACCTGGAAGCTTTACCATTCATTTTGTATGAACAGCATAAAATGACAAATAGCATTGAAAAAAATTGTGTTTGGGGAGATTGTCAAAAATCACAGACAGCATTCAAATTGAATTTCACATTTTATGAGTATCCATGGATAGGAATTTTCATGAACTAGAATCAGAACACATTTTGAAATACACTTCTCTGGCTGCTTGTTGTGAGTCTTCTAAGTTTCTTAAATCTCGGGACCCAAGAAATTGGGTAAATCATGGGCTTTGTCGTTTGACCAAAAAGGTAGTTATTGATGGGGATTGTACTCTTCCATTTTTCAGTACTATAATGAAATCCCCGAGACAGGTGCTTGGTGTTGATGAACAGTTATGGAGGTGCAAGGTTGAAGGGCTACTCCTAATGACCTTTGTGCTGACCAAGTCCTGAAGCTGTGCAGAGCTTCGTGTGGCACGAGAGGAAGCACACATTGCGCGCGCGTGTGTCTCCTTACTTCGACTCATAATAAAGCCACCAGGATTCAATCACAGGAGCCCCATGCTAATAACCTTATCTGATCCTAAACACTAATCAAAAACTGCCATTCAACACTCAGCTTCCACCCTCTGGCTGCTTGACAGTGGGGTTAGATTTTAGTACATGAAGCATGTGCGCCCTAGCCAAACCAGGGATCTCCTGTCACTCCCCTGAAGGTGGGCATGGGATTAGRTACAGACGTTGTACAAACCAGAAGTGTGGGTGGGCCACAATGTGGGCGCTGGGATGGGGAGAAAGTCCTGACAGCAGGAAGGTCCCCTTAGTGGTAAAGGGGAGCCAGTACTGCCAGCGCTCTGCTAAGACACACTGCCACCCACCAAGGATCRTCCCTTTTCAATGATTCTGGGTGGTGACCGACTTTCCTTGTGAGACCACCACTCTTTAGTGTCTAGGGTGGACTTGGGTGGGGTCCCTCACCATCAGCTGTGCTATGCATCTGTGCCATAGTTCCTTTGAAGGCTATGAAACATCCAGAGCTTGCTGGACGTTCAAGTCGAGAGACATGCGTTGGTTCATGTAGACAGCTGGGTGTCCGTGTGTCCACAGGAAAACCTGAACATCTGATCTCAATGGCTCCAGRTTCTGTCCCATTGGCTAGATTTCCTGGACTCGCAGCCTCCTCCGTCATTTGGCTTTTGGCCTATCTGCTGCATTATGCTTTCTGGCTCTTCTACTTTACCTATCTATTTTTTTAACCTTCCTCTGATAGAAAATAATCAAGGAATGAGTGTATAATAAGGTTCAGGTCAGAGAGGCCTGAGCTGACCCTCTCCAGTAAAGAAACCCATCCCTCAGCCTTCTGAGCCCCTGGGATTACAGGTATGCACCACTGCACCCAGCTTACATTCTTTACATATAAAAGTTTGAGGTGTTTTGGTGGGTTGTTGCAGAGGTCCTCAGACTGATGATGTGACTCTGTGCAGAGGTCATCAGAGGTGATCCCTTRGCTGCCTAGAGCTTATGCTGATGACTGTATCAGGTTCTGCATGTGTATTTTTAATATGTCATAAAATAATCCCTTGCATGCTTCCTCAGGCCCTGCCCACCCTCCACCTGTCTGTGTCCCTAGCATAGGTATCTGGGATGGGGTCTGTGCTATGTTTTCCTGACCCTGAACCTTCAGAGGCCTAAAAGCACTGGTCACAGGTCCACCAGCTTGCTTTGGACCTCCACATGTATTCTTTGAATTGTTCAGGTTCAGTCCCCAAGAGCCTCTGAAGTCTTCCCTGCTTTCCTGTCACCTCTGCCGGCCCCTGCACTCCTCCTTCAAGCCACCGACTTACATAAGTGTTTAGCAGAGATTGTCCATGGATACTTTCTGGCTTCCAGAGTCTATCTTGTCTCTGGACTGCAGGCCAGAATCGCCTGCTRCTGAAGGGAAAGCCCTTTATCCTATTAATCACGTAAAGACAGCATTTGACCATAAAGCAGCTGTGGACAGTGATCTCTTCACCTCAGGAATGAAGCAACTGGACTGTAATTGTGAAATGTAGCCTCAGGAAATCTTTGGTACAGTGTTCATAATCTGCAGTGCACTCACACTTTCTTTGCAGTATAAACAATGAATCCCACAGATCTCAATATTTATTGGTTCTTCTCTTGCTATCAATTTTCTCTGATAACCACCCACTCCCATTTTTTTTAATTGAAAGGTGTTTTCTTTTTGTCTCTATATACTTTAAATGTCTTCATGAAAATACATTTGCTGCTTTTTTTTTCCTTCAGGTGTTTTTAAGCATTTTTTTTCTTTCAGACTTCCTTGATTTTTTAATGTGGTCTGTCTTAAACATTATAAATTGTTTTCTCGACATAAGAATCCTGCGTTTTTTTACTGGTCATTCTTATTGCCAGTAACAATTATGGTTAATTCACAAAATTACTGGAGTTTTTTTAAACTCGGGTCTTTTTTAACTCAGATACTAAGGTGGTAAAATATATGTAGGTGGCTCTTTGCTTCTGTGCCTCATTGGAAGAAAAGGGGATTGACTTATGATGATGCTCATTCAACTCTGAATACACTGCAAACCACCAAATTCACAATTCTAAATGTGCGATTGCAAGCCCTCGGGAAAGCTGTCACAGCGCCGTGGCTTAACYGCCTGCTCTTGTGCTATGCAGGGTACCATAGCAAACTCGTTGACCTGTGTCCAGCTTCATAAGCGTGCTGAGAAGATAGCCGTGATGCTGATGGAACGGGGACACCTGCAGGATGGGGACCACGTGGCTTTGGTCTACCCACCAGGTGAGGGGGCAGGGCAAGGGCAGCAGCCCCATATGAGACCACTTGGCCACCCTGTTGGCAGCCAAGTAGAGCTGTGGGATTGTTGCTGAAGTTGACGATACTGCAGTGGGATTTCAGCCGCCTCCTTTGTGCCTAGTTCTCCCTATTTGCTCAGGGATGAGGCTACCTGTTACCCTATGGTTAGAGGCTCAAGTAACGAGATGTTAATTTTTTATCTAAATTTGTTTTATTAGACAACTGAAGTAGTTCACTTAACCCATAGTGAAGCCTTTCTTAAATTTCATATGGTTGAGTATTTCTGTGGAAAAATAGCAGAAATTAAACTGCAAGCCTGCTCTTTTATTTCCTGTCTAAAAGAACAGGCCAAAGGAAGTGACCACCCCACCCACAGGGACAAGTTCAAGGTCTTGTTCTTTTAACTATCTTGAGACCAGAGCTTGTGCTGGCAGGGATGGAGGTGGTTGAACAGCGTGTTTTGCTTCAAGTTCGTTTTCCTCCCCGTGTAGGCATAGACCTCATTGCAGCATTTTACGGTTGCCTGTACGCGGGCTGTGTGCCGATAACCGTCCGACCTCCGCACCCACAGAACATCGCCACGACCCTGCCGACTGTCAAGATGATTGTAGAGGTAACCTACACATGGAAGATTTTGGGCGCTTCACCTGCCAGACCTGAGTGTGGCACTCGTGGGTCCCAGACCCTAGAGTCTTCTAGGGCATGACRGCTGTGGGTGTGAGAGTTTATCAAGCCAGGAAATGCTCTCCGCCTTCCAGAAGGCTGTGACCTAGTTCTAGAAGCAAGATTTAAACGAGGCATGGAAGAGACTAGCAGGCAGCAGCTACCCCAGTGCATCAGAGTTAAAGGTGCCCTGAAGACGGTAGCCCCTGGAGAGGGCTCCTCTACCATCAGTGGGGGAGTCCCCACCGAAGCCACTGARCAAACTAGCCAAATGAAATTGCAGTGGATTGTTTTTGCTCTTTCCTCAAAATTTAGAATTTTTCTATTCCTTTCTGAGGACACTGATTGATTGATTGATTTTTTTATATCTGGGGACATTTAGGAGCCGGGAATGGTGGTGAACACCCCAAATCCCTGCTGCTCAGGAGGCTAAAATGGGAAAATTGCATTTGAGCTCAGCCTGGGCAACTTAGCAAGACCCTGTCTCAGAATTTTAGAAAAGGGCTAGGGATGTAGCCTAGTGGTAGAGTCCTTACCTAAGAAGAATGAGGGCCTGGGTTCCATCTCCGATACTACCAAAGAAAAAAGGAAATAAAAAACTTAGGATATGTTTTTCTCCCTACTGGAGGAGGAGCTATGAGGAGCAAAATTAGTTTGGGCACAGAGGATGCCAATGACCTGGGTCCTGCGTGAACATTCTTTGTAGTTGTGGTAGAGTACTTGCACTGGCCATTCTTCCTGTTAGAGGGTGTTGACATGTCTGCCTCTTTGTGACCAGAGTATTTCAGCTCTTGGGGCAGCAGGTGTGGGGACCTGAGCCCCCTGCCCTGCCTGCATGTGTGCATGGTCAGGTTCCGCTCTCCTGCATCCCAGCCAGCTCTCCAGGGGGAAGTGGTGCTCCTGGGCACTCACTGCCCCTTCAGCTGCGTGGCTTTAACAAGCAGAGCGAGCCGTGGGCGTTCACTCACTCCCTCTCCACACTCTGGTCCTCAGGTGAGTCGCTCTGCCTGTCTGATGACAACACAACTGATCTGTAAGCTGCTACGGTCCAGGGAGGCAGCGGCAGCTGTAGATGTCAGGACATGGCCCCTCATACTGGACACGGGTCAGTACCTGAGCTAGCAGGATGAGTGTATTTGCTTACATGGCCTCTCATTAGGACAAATATCCTGATGGCTTTGTTTGTTCTCTAGATGATTTGCCAAAGAAGCGGCCTGCTCAGATCTACAAACCCTCCAACCCCGACACGCTGGCCTACCTTGACTTCAGTGTGTCCACAACCGGAATGCTAGCTGGCGTAAAGGTGAGAAGTGGAATCTGCTCCACCTGAGCTGGTGGTTTGCAGCTAACGGGCCTGTGTTCAYGGTCAGCTTGTGTTCTTGTGAGTGCAAGCACTCTGTAGAAACAGGTGCGCCAATATGCTTCTGTTTAAGTTGTATTGTGTCTGACCCCTTCAACAGTCCTCAAGGCTGACCAGTTCTTCCAAGTGTTCAGTGAATTTTTATATTATCACAGTCTCACTTGCCCATGATAGAATACTGCACATTTTGCTGGTTGTCCACCCTCCTGGTTTTCATCTCTGCACGCTGCATTTTCTTGCTTTTTAAACTTGCACTCCATTATAACCTGTCAGATTCCTGCTCAGTGAAGCTACATTGATCCTTTTGTCATCCAAGAATGTGACTTCCATTATGTCATTAAGAATTAGGACCCTCATGGCTCAGATGATGCCAAGGTACTATGTAAAACTGCACCATTAGGTTCCCTGTGGCTCGGGAAGCCTGTTCTGTAGTATCTGCCTCTGGTTAGACTGGTGAGTTTGCTTTATTGACTGCACTTTGTTCTCAGGCTCGACCTAGCTAAGTCGGTATACATTTGAGGTGGTATGCTAAATTAACTACAGTGTTGAATAAAATTTTCAAAAGGTTTTTTCAAAGAAATATTTTTCAAACCAAGATAAATTGGTTACTTTGGGAACTGGGGCTGTGGCTCAGTGGTGGAGCACTTACCTAGCAAGTGTGAGGCACTGGGTTTGATTCTCAGCACCACATATCAATAAGTTCATCAACAACTAAAGACATATTTTAAAAAAATACTTTGGACTGTTTTTGTGATGTACAGAGCAGTAGTTATAATATTAAATCTTGATTTTTTTTTTTTTATTATCAGCATGAAACAGATAATGTGATCTGTTTTACTTCCTGGTGATTCTATTCCTGGTGATTCCACTTAAAGTTATACACTCTAGAAAAYCCAGAGATTTTCTAGTGAGACTTCCTCTGAAACCTACAAGAGCTTTTTCTAAACTTTCAACCATTTAATTTGATGAGACCTGAAGTGAAATGTACTGTGATGTCAATAAGAGAGACCTATGGGTACTGAGGGGCACAGAATTGAGTCGGAATGTGCAGCACATGGCCTGCTCCAGATGGAGTCCCTCGTACCTCATGGTCTTGTGGATTACACAAGTGACCATTGTTCCTAGAAAGAACTTTTTCTTAATTTCAGTTTTGGGACAAAAAGTGTTATTGGGCATTGATACATATCATAAAAGACAGCGGGCACAGTGGCTCACACCYGTGAATCTTAGCTTCTATGAAAGCTGAGGCAGGAGGATTGAGAGGTATTTTTTGTTTTTTGTTTTTATATTTTTAGATGGATATAATACCTTCATTTTATTTATTTTTTTGTGTGTGATGCTGAGGCTTGAACCCAGGGCCTCACACGTGGTACTCAAGTGCTCTACCACTGAGCCCCAGCCCAGTATTGTGAGTTTGAGGCCAGCCTAGGCAAACTTAGCCCTTGTCTCAAAATGAAATTTTTTACCAAGCGGTAGCGCGCTCGCCTGGCATGCTGGGTTCGATCCTCAGCACCACATAAAATAAAATAAAGATGTTGTGTCCACCGAAAACTAAAAAATAAATATTAAAAGAAAAAAAGGGCTGGGATGTAGCTCAGTGATGTAGTCCCCAGTCCCACAAATAAAAATGACAAGTATATCCGTTAAGCTGGGTGTTTGATACTTTCTGATGAGTGTTGGAGAATATTGAATTTTGAATGAAACCTAGGAGTAGGTTTGTACATTGAAGATTATAAGTTTAGTAATTGGCTTTGTGCTCTGAAGGCTCTTAATAGACCTAGATGTACACTTGCTCGAGATCAGTAAGAAGGGAGTATAGAGGACCTACAGGGGACCTCAAATAGATGGCTCATGGGTTTCCCCAAAGAATATTGGGACTCTCTGTGGTCCTCCACTTCCACAAAACGGCTTCCCAGAGCTCCTGGTCGATGACTGCCCAGGGACTCGTYATTTTTTCAGTGGCTTAAACACCTATTTCCAGACACTCGTTTTAATCTCAGCCAAGTCAAAACTGCACTGAAAGGCAACTCTGCCCAAGAAACGTCACACAGCACGTCCCAAGTAAATCAGGGTTGAGTCGACCTCATCCTAGGTTCCTCCCCATCAGCACCGTATTCCACTGCAAAAGTGTGACCTCCAMGTTAGTGCACTTTCACAAGTGTCCTGTGTCCTAATCTCCCACCAAAGACAGTTCAGCAATAAATGACTTTAATAGTTAAAAAAAAAAAAGAAGCTTCACATATGATTACACTCTACTTGTTTGCAAAAAAAAAAAAGAAAAAAATGGCATAAAATCTGTCAGTGAAACACTTTCTACTTTCACGTCCACCTTAGATCATCTACGTTTGTTGATTTGGAATTTTGGAAAACTAATGCTGTATCCAAGTGTGAGTCTTAATAGGAACTGGCAGTTTTCTTCATTTAGGTTCTAGAAAAGCTTCCCGAGTCATGTTCCTTGGTTGATCGTGTGGGTAGGGTCCAGCATTGGCATGAATTTGGAGATAGAGCAGTCAGCTGTTTGTGGCCCTTGTCTTAACCGGTGCCATTCTTGTTACTGTGTGTGTGTGGGGGGGGTTGTCCTTGAGACTCAGCATGCTGGAGAGCTTCCAGCTGGAGCCATGTGAGTACCTTTCTCCAACTGTCCCTATGCTGTAGACATTTGCCCAGACACTGATAGGTCTTGGAGTTAGCCCTGCGTTGGAGTTTCCCATTGCATCCTGATCCTCTGAGGGTAGGTGCTGCCTTGTTCCCCAGCTCCTAACCCATGCCTGATGGAGAAGGAGCATTCAGTGTCAGTGTTTGCCCAGCCAAACCAAAGAACTCGATTTCAGCAGCAGTTTCATAAAGAGTTTCTTCAGTGGCTAATCTTGAGTACCTGGGGAATTTTGGTAAATGGGACTCAACTCCCTCTTCATCTGGGTGAGCAGGAGGTTAGAGGCTCATTTTGAAAATCCAACCTCATTTCTCTTTTAAACAAATATTGGGCTCTAAGTGCAAACTGCGAAGAACTGAAGTTTTACAAGCCAGAGTAATTCTGCCTTACCCTGTGTGAATTCAGTGAAATGTCCCTAACGGACCCCTGTCCTTGTCAGAATTTCTGGTGGTGATCTGACACTCAGTAGTGGCTGCAGTCCCGCCCTGCTTCCTCTTGTCTCCTCCTGGCTTGGTGAATGGATGGGACACAGACATGGGGCTGGACTCCCTAATTATCACAGGGCTCTGCACTGGTCCCCTTTGTAGGTTAGCTCCAGGTGACACATCTTAAAACCTTGCACTTAGAGCAGTTTTCTGTGCTRCATTTGTTTCCCTCTCCTCTCGGGTTGGTTTGGCTGGAAAGCCCCTGTGGGAATATTGATTTTATTTGGTACATTTTGCAGTGTTTCAAAATAATTCACATTACTTACCATAGGAACCCAAGGAGAAGTCTTCCCTGTGGCCTTGATCCTGGGGTGTGACTGGGCTTGGCTGCTGACTGTAGGATGGTCATGCAGCGGAAAGGTCACTGTGAGAGGACCAGGGATCTAGTTCTAGCTCTCAAGGATGTGAACTTAAGTAAACTCTTTCACTTCTCTGAGCCCCTGTTTCCTAGACATGAATATGGGGGTCCATCAAAGATACACCATAGGCCACCTGTACATTGCAGGAATGAGTGGAGTGTCACAGGAAAGAGGTACAGTCATGCCTGTAAAGGTGGGTGTGAACGTGATGCCTTCACTGTCCACTTTCAGGCATCACAAGAATCCCTGAGTGTAAACCTTCTGCTTAAATGCAAAACAACATTATTTCAGTTTAGTTATTGGATCYTGGAGAATCAGGGAGTTCCCACCCCCCACCGCAGTACCAGGTATTGAACTTGGGGCACTCAACCACTGAGCCATATCCCCAGCCCTATTTTGTATTTTGAGACAGGGTCTCACTGAATTGCTTAGTGCTTTGTAGTTGCTTTGCAGTCGCTAAGGCTGGCTTTGAAAATTCATGATTCTTCTGCCTCAGCCTCCCAAGCCACTGGGATTACAGGAGTGTGCCACTACACCCAGTGAGGGAGTTTGGAGTGTGGTTTATTTGCTGAAAATAGGAAGAAGGTTGAGTGTGCAGCAGCAGCCAGTCTGTGCAAGCAGCTGTCCCTGTCCTGCAGTCTCTGGGGCATCTAGTATTAAGTAGCACATGTTCAGTGCAGCTGTGCTGCCCTGTGTTCTGGGTGCTGGGGTCCTGGGCCCCGTGTTGACCACTCCTCCCTGTCTTACAGATGTCTCACGCAGCCACCAGTGCCTTCTGCCGTTCTATTAAGCTGCAGTGTGAGCTTTACCCTTCTAGAGAAGTGGCCATCTGCTTGGACCCCTACTGTGGACTTGGATTTGTCCTCTGGTGCCTCTGCAGGTGAGATTCCTCTTTAATATCTTCAAAGTAAATTTTTAAGAAGAAGCCATGTACCTTTCCTTCTAGGTCTCTGGCCCTGCAGGCAGCCCTGAGCACTGCACCTCTGGAGACTGCCGAGGCCCACTGCCTGTCCTTGAAAAGCCCACCATCACCTCAGGGACAGAGCAGCACCGAGTGGCTTTCCACTTCCACCAGGAGGCCAGTTGAGTTCTGAAGAAGCCCAGAGACAGCGGCCAGCAAGGCCTTTGAGAAGATGGCTGTCACAGACCTTTACGCTTCCCAGGGGGACTCTCAGGGCTTGGTTCTTACACCCTCCAGTTGGCGGTTGCGCCTGCTCAAGTTCTTGTTGAAGCAGGGGACATTACAGGCTCTCACCTCCTTTCTCCTCCTCCTCCTCCTGGCTTTTCCTTAGAGGAGGGCTTGGGGTGGGACATGCCCGAGGGCTGAGTCCACATCTGGCCGCTGCTGCCAAATCAGCCCTGGCTTAGAGCAAGATCTCATAAACATGTATAGAATGAGCTCCTGGTGGGTATACAAATGGCTAAGTATCGGGATTTTTTTTCCTGATTATACATGTGTGTTTATTGTAGAAATTTTAGAAATTATATACACAGCTATCTACAATCATACCACCTAATAAACAGTGGTAACTGTAAATACATTTTTTGCATGTAGCCTTCTGTAGCTTGTTTTCTAATGTAGCACACTTAGCAAGTTCATGTTTTCAAATATATATGAGCATATAAAGTGTACTAGAATGATCCACCAGCACCCATGATCCAGCTTCACGTTTCTACATTTTATCAGATTTTTTTCATATCTACTTTTTCTTTTTTAATAGGCATTTTTCTTAGGGGATGTAGTGGAGATTGAACTTGGGGGTGCTCAACCACTGAGCCACATCCCCAGCCCTATTTTGTATTTTATTTAGAGACAGGGCCTCACTGAGTTGTTTAGCACTCGTCATTGCTGAGGCTGGCTTTGAGCTCGTGATCCTCCTGTTTCGGCCTCCCAAGCCTCCAGGATTACAGGCGTGCACCACTGCGCCTGATTTTAATGGGGTATTTTTATTTAAAATATTTATATGTTTAGTTTTAGATGGACACATTATCTTGTTTTTATGTGGTGCTGAGGATTGAACCCAGTGCCTCATGCATGCTAGGCTAGCACTCTACCAYTGAGCCACAACCCCAGCCCCTTAATGGGGTATTTTAAAGCAAACGCAAACTATGTAAAGTTTTACCCATAAATCTTTAATTTTACAAATATGCTAGCTTATAATTAGCGTATTTATAAAATTGAGATGCTATATATAGTATGATTTTCTTTTCATAATGGTGTATAGTGGACATTTTTTTAATAATCTTTTTTTGTGGTGCTGGGGACTGAAACCAAGGCTTTGTGTGTGAACCCAGGGATTAGTGAGAGGGTCTTGCTAAGATGTCTATTCTGGCTCATCATTGTAGTCCTGCCTCAGCCCCCATCATAGTTGGGATTCTAGTCAAGCATCACCACACYTACCTTTAAACACTCTCCTAGGACATTATTTTTAATGCATTCATATTTAATAGTATTGGATTAAAATCTAATCCTATAATTTTGGAAAACAGTGGCATTCTAATTAGTACAATTAAACTTTTTGAGAAGGTGCTTGTATATGCTTTCTGAAGTTTGATATCAACTACTTCTTGAAGAAGCCCTAGTTGATTTTAGAAGAAAATGGYATTTAATAGTTAAGATACTTGGTTGATGTATTCATTGCTCCTAGGGAATGGCTGCTCCCAGGTCCTGTCATGGACAGGGCTGTGGAACACACACAYATATATTCATACATACAGAGCACTGCTGCATTTCTACCTTAGCAGTATCTGCTGAAAAGCAGGTGTTTACATCAGGCCTAACTGTAGGCCAGCTTCAGAGACGACTGTATTTTTTGTTCTGAATTTATAACCCCCTTTGCCAACATGGAGGAATCTGGCTTTCATTATCCTTATCATGTATACTTATTTTTAATCCCCTTGTATGAAGCCAGTCTCCTTGTATGAAGGAAAGCTCTTCCTGTGAGACATAAGAACTGAGAGTCTTTAAGGGGTTGTGCAGGTTGCACTGAATCTTGGTTGAATAATCGTCTTTCCAGCAAATTCATTCAAAAGTCTCAGAAGCAGTGTTCTGATTGGCCCTGCAACAATGAAAATAAGTGTATAACTGCTATAGGTTTCTATGTTTTCTAAAATCCTAAAGGACCTTCTTTTAAAAAAGAAAAGCCTTGGGTTTCAGATGGTCGATCACTAAAACACTGAGGTATGAATTTGGGGAGGCCTCATTCTGCAGGCCATGAAGGTCCACAGCAGGCAGGGAAGGGAGGGTGACAGCACCCAGGAGGAGGAGGAAGAGAGCATGCACACCAAGAGGCAGCTGGCATGGGGTGGGGAGCCAGGCAGGAGAGGAATAATGGAGGTCAGCAGCAGCATGGGGGCAGACTGGCTTCATGCAAGGGGATTAAAAATAAGTGATAAGAATAATGAAAGCCAGATTCCTCCATGTTGGAAAAGGGTGTTATAAATTCAGAACGAAAATACAGTTGTCTYTGAAGCTGGCTTGCAGTTAGGCCTGATGTAAACACATGCTTTTCAGCAGATACTGCTAAGGTTAGAAATGCAGCAGTGCTCTGTATATATGAATATATGTGCATGTGTTCCACAGCCCTGTCCATGACAAGTCCTGGAAGCAGCCATTCCCCAGGAGCAATGAACACATTAAGCAAGTATCTTAACTATTAAATACCGTTTTCTTCTAAAGTAGACTAGGGCTTCTTCAAGAAGTGGCTGATTTCAAACTTCAGAAAGAGCATGTACAAAATGACCTTGAAATGTCATTTTAAGCTAGAAAGCAAGGAAAGGCTCAAAGAATGATGGGGCTATGTCACAAGGACAGAATGTTAGTTTGAAAGTTCCCACTGGGCAAATTGGGAACAACTTTTGCGTCAAAATAAAGATCACAACAATTTAGAATATTTTGAATAAAATAGGAAATTAACTATTTAAAGAGATGAGGAAATTGAATGCATGATAAGGAGCAAGAATGTCTGTGGTATCGATGCACAAAATAAAGGGGTAAGAAACTTGAGGTTGGAGAAGCTATGCACTAGTGACCAGAGCCAAAGCCACTGGTAGTGGTGCGGAGGTGTCTGAGCCACTCCACAGGCCAGGAGAGGACAAGGCGTCACTCTTGCTCATCCGTATCTAGTGACATGGAAATATCACACACAGTTGGGGGACACTCAACAGGAGTGCCTGAAATTGTCACAAACCTTGGTGTCCCAGAGCAGAGGAAACCCTGAAAAATCATATGGGGAAAAGAATCTGAAAGACAACAGCTTAAGTATGTGAGAGTCTGAAATGGACCCTTTCACTGTAAGAGCTGTAATTGGGACAACTGGAGAAGCTTGAACAGGGTCTGAACTTGGATAAGAGAAGCATATCAGTGTTCAAATTTTGATGGTTTGATTGGTTTATGGAGGAAAATATACATATTGGTTGGAAATGCCCCCAGAAGCATTTTTTTTGGTGGAATGGACATTGGTTTTTTGATTTACCATTGAATGATTCAGAAATTTAAAGTTATTTTGACTAGGAAATTTTCTGTAATTTTGTAGGTATATGAAAGTAAAACTATTTCCATCCTAAAACCATCTTTAATCACAAAACAGAAGATTGTTTATATAATGAGTTATTGCAAAATGTTTTCTAAGATCAGGTGTGTGTTGTAAAGCACATCAGATAGTTCATATTCATGCCCTGGAAGGTTCAATATTAAAAGGGCAATTCTTCCCAGATGCATTCATAGGTTCAGAATAATCCCTATCAAAACCTCAGCATGCTTTTTTATAGAAATAGACAAGATGATCCTAAAAGGGATAAAAGGACCCCTTTTGTAGAATTGTCGGAATAATTTTGAAACAGAATAACAAAATTGGAGAACTCGGACTACCAGAATACCATTTCCTGATTTCAAAAATTACTGGGAAGCTACAGTCACCAAGACAATTTGGTACTAGCATCAAATAGACTTGGATGGATGGATACATGTCATTGAAACAAAATTGAGAGTCTAAAAATAAACCCTTATAAGTCCCCCCCCCCTTTTAAAGGTACCAAAGTGATTCACTAGGGAAGAGATAAGGGCCCCTGGGTTCAAACCCTGGTACCTTAACCACTGAGCCACATCCCCAGTCCTTTTTATATTTTATTTAGAGACAGGGTCTCAAGGAGTTGCTTAGGGCTTTGCTTAGTTGCTGAGGCTGGCTTGGAACTTTTGATCCTCCTGCAGCAGCGTCCTGAGCTGCTAGGATTACAGGCATGCACCACTGGCAGAAAAGATAATCTTTTTAACAAATGAAGCTAGGAAAATTGGACATAGGTAGATAATTTAAATCTTTATTATACATCATATACATAAATTAACTYCAATGAGGTATAAGCAAAAATTTAAAAATTTTAGAAGGAAACACAGGATTAAATCTTACTAATTTGAGGTTGGCAGAAATATCTTACATATGACAGCAAAGGCTTAATACATAGAAAATATTGATAAATTAGACTCAAAAACTTTAGCATATCAAAAGACATTAAGAAAATTAAAAGGCAAGCCATGGAAAAAGTATTTGCAAATCATCTGGTAAAGTTCTTTAACCAGCACTGTAAAATTCAAGAATAAAAGCAACGATTTAAACATGGGCAAGATGTTTCAATAGGTATTTCACCAAAAGGATACATATAAGCTGGGTACACACCTACAATCCCAGCAGCTCAGGAGGATTGTAAGCTCAAGGCCAGCCTCGGCAATTTAGCAAGACCCTAAGCACCTCAACAAGACCCGAAAATTGGACTGGGGATGTGGCTAAGTGCTCCTGGATTCAATCCCCAGTACTCCCTCACTCTCAAAAGAAGGGAAAAAAAACACAAAAAAAACCCACATATGAATGGCCAACAAGCTCATGAGAAGATGTCTAGCATTAAGGCAATAAAAGGTGAAACCATGTGAGGTACTTTACATGCACTAGAACAGGTATAACCAAAAGTTGAGCATTTCTAACTGCAAACTCACGCCACAAAGCAGTCATAACCATGTGTGTGGAAAAACGGGAATTGTCACACATTGTTGATAAGAATAGGGAAACCACAGTTTGAGTTAAAAGTTACATGTGAGTTTACCATATGACCCTGCAGACCTAGTCTAGGCTTCTCTCTGAGATAGGAAATTGTGTGTCTGCAGAAAGACTTGATACACAACTGTTCCCCAAAGCCTTGGTCCAAACCAGGAAGTTGGATGGGGCTGGATACATGTGTCCGCAAGCAGAAAAATGGACCAACAAGATTCGTCATCTGTACGGTGGAATACTACTGCAGAGTATTTGGGGAGAGGGGGCTTCAAAAGCATGATGCTAAGTGAATGAAGTCAGACTCAATGCTCTGTGATTATATGGAATCAGAAAAGGCAAATTTACAGAGACCAGGGCTAGGTTTGGCTGTATTGATGGCAAACACACAGGGACTATCTTTAGAGTGATGAGAATGATTTACACCAGCACTGGTGATAATTGTATAACTGCAAATTTGTTAAAAATTATTATTCTACTCTTAATGTGGTGAGTTCTATGGTATGGGAAGTATGCCTAAATGAAGCTGGTGGTTTTAAAATGGAAAGGTGTGACAGTGGAATAATTGAAAAGCATKCGAGACCAGGGGCCTTCCAGCAGCAAGCCTGCCTTCAGGAGGCCCAGCCCGTGAGCCCGCTGGAGAGAGGTGTGGCTGTTTTCACCTGAGTTAATTGAATAATCTGGAATCATTGATTTGCTTCTCTGTAAGTTTTTGTTACATACCAGAAAGTTTAAGTGTTTTATTATGGAATTAAGATCTAAATTAAACTAGCTGAGTTTCCAGAAACTCTTAGAAAATAATGTTATCAGAATAAGCAACCTGCTATTAAACATGTTAGTCTTGTCCATAGGGATATTTATCACCAGTGCCAAAAAAATCAATACTGGCTAATAAGTGCAACAATCAGTCAGCATTAGTTGGATTGGGCAAGATACAGGCCAAGTGGAAAGCTCATGAGTCAGGTTTTGCTTTGTCGGTATTTATCAATTTTTCCGTACTTTGACTTCCCTTTTATGGGRGTGAAGAGGCAAATGAAACTGTATTGGATTTTTGCAAATATGCCTGAAATTATCCAGCCTGTAATTTACTCTGAGTGTTCAGCCTCTTGTGTACCAACAGTCCTGATTAAGCAAATCCTTAATCCTGAGACACGYTCTCCAGAAAGTAGGAGGTCATTTGTGTTTCATCTTTTTCCTTTTGGGTCTCCTTATAATGACATGTATAAAGTAAAATTTGGGAACAACATAGAAATGATAGTCAAATTAAGAGAGAAGTCATTTCTCAAAGTCATACATAGTTTGTAGGCTAATTCTGGAGTACTGTGCCCCAAAGCAACAGTGAACAAGACAAAGATGGAGGCCTCCAAGAGGTGGGACATCAATTCCAGTGAACCCAGTGCAGGTGGGAAGTCCTCCTCTGTGCTGCCCGGCTCCAGGYAGACACTGAGATGAGGCCACTTTGCCAGGGTCTCAGGACCTCCGTCTCCACAACAGGGCCCAGGTCTGGGGGGAAAGATGGCACTCATCCCTTAGGTGTGTTGCTGGTGCCAATGARAGGTGCACACTTCAGTGTGTCAATTAGGTTCACGATGATATGCAACCATAACCAGTGTTTTCAGTTTGCTTTCTTTACTCCAAATTGAATCTGTCCCTCTTCCTCCGTCCTCCCAGCATTCTTCAGTCAACTTTCTGAGTTGGCGTGTTCTAGATACTTCATAAGAGTGGAATTGTGCAATATTTGGTTCTTCTGTCCAGCTTATTTCACTCTGCATCATGTTTCCAAGGTTTATTCACGTTGCAGCATGTGCCAGATCCGCTGTTTTATGGTGGGAAGATATTGTGTGTCCACATGCACACCCACCACTGAAGTGCACACTTAGAAATAGCTAAAATGGTAAATTTATGTTTGGGATTGTTTTTTACCACAATACTGAAAATTAGGACAAAATAGCCTATTTACAGCTGAGAGATAACTTGAGGTTTGGTGTTCCTTCCCGTACAGGCCACACAAAAGGGTCAGTTTGCAATAYTCCCTTTTGACAAAAATAAATGAAACTTGGGAATAGAGAAATAAAGAGACATGGAAACTTGCCCCAGGATGTCCTTTGTCATGACATTCCCTGAAGAATAGCTTTTCATATGCAGGGTCCTCCTTGAAGGAGATTGTGTGGGCCATCTTCCTTACATCCTTGAACAGGGTGGATTCCTGCTAACAATTTTGGAAATCATAAAATGAGATTGGCTGCACTAAAGAAGAAATAGCTTTAGTATTATAGCAGGGAATGTGGCCTAATGTGCTATTTCACGTATGAATTTTATATAGCCAGAAATTCTTTTATTTAAATTTTAAAAGTTGGTTTATTTAGAATATTTTATTTTGAGTGACATCCATTATTTTCCTCATTCCTCTAATATGGAGATAAAATTAAAGAATCGTTGTATTTTCCTTAGTTTTTCTGTTGTATGATTTCTTTGAATCATTTAAAAGTAAAAATCTATACCTAAAAGTTTCAGCAACTATCTTCCTTGAATTGTCTTAATTTTCTTTGACTCTGGAATTCTCGGTATTCTAAACTGGGGAAGGCATAGGTTTTCTTAAATGGGCATTTATCAAAATTTTAGCTCCTGTGTTCTCCACTCCAACCAGTCAGCCTAAAGCTGCTGGAGCCAATATTTAGAYATAACAGGCTGCAGCCTTGTTCCCCAACGAGCTGTATTAACAAAATACAAGCCACATCTGTGGTTCAAGAGCTCCTGTTCTGAACTTTCCAAACTTTCTACCAGAACATGGTGCCTGTGTCCCCTATAGAAGAGGTCCACTTTGTTAATTCAGCAGCATTGAGAGAAACCCAACAGTCTTGTAGCTTTTAGATGTTTTGAATAGCGTTCCCAGTGGTAATACCTGCATTATAATTCCTGTAGGCCTTCCGTGTTTCTTGGAATGTCTTCAAAACCATGATTTCCTTTTATGGAGTTGGTTTTACTGTCCCTGTCCTACAAATGACACAAGGGGCTTGTTCAAAGTCCTCCCTTTTCTGAGGTGAATGTTGCCCTAACTTTCCCACCTCGCTGAGCACTACCCTGATGGCCTGTCCTGTCTCTACAGTGTGTACTCTGGGCACCAGTCCATTCTGATCCCACCCTCAGAGCTGGAGACCAATCCTGCACTGTGGCTGCTAGCTGTGAGTCAGTACAAGGTGCGGGACACGTTCTGCTCATACTCGGTGATGGAGCTTTGCACCAAGGGGCTGGGCTCCCAGACAGAATCCCTCAAGGTAAGCTGTTGCATGCCCAGCCTGAGCTCAAGAGTGCACAAGAGCCCGCTTGTCCCCAGAGGGGACTCTGGCAGATGGGTTAGGACAGTCCTTCAAAGAGCCAAGGTGTAATTTGCCAACTCAGGCTTACTGGTTGCCATGAATAGTTTCCCACTGTTATAAATTATAAGCAAGAGTGTAAAATGTTGATGTTTTAATTCCCATTTCTACTTGAAATATCCTAAATTTGTTTTTTTGTTGTTGTTGTGTGAGTTAAGTTTGTTATTTGATACTGGTATTTAACTAGAAAGGCTTGAATTCACTGGGAGAGGGGGCTGGTTTCCTGGGAACTGAACTCAGGGGCACTTGACCACTAAGCCACATCCACAATCATATTTGGTATTTTATTTAGAGACAGGGTCTCACTGAGTTGCTTGGCACCTTGCTGTTGCTGAAGCTGGCTTTGAACTCACGATCCTTCTGATCTTCCTGCCTCAACCTCCCGAGCCCTGGGATTACAGGCGTATGCCACTGCACCTGGCTGCTCCTCACTTTTGTTTGCCTTGGAAGACTGTTTTGAAGGACTGGTCCCTACCCAAAATACATTTTACAGTTGCATGAATAGAGTTGAGATTTTTCTTTTACTAACATTATGTAAGAATAGTAATATTTCCCTGTCTTAGTGAAAAATATTTTAATAGACATTTTTGTGGAAAATTAAATAGTTCCAGATAACTAAGGGGGGGGGTACTGAGATGACCTGTTTTGATTATAAGCCAACCCACCATTCACTGTTTGCACATGTCTAGTGTGTAGGTCCTTGGATAATATTGGTATTCACACACACACACACACACACACACACACACACACAYAYACACATACACACATACATACACGGAGTACATACAACAAAGCAGTGCATCTGTATCTCCTGCATTGTTTTCTTATTCAGGCAATATTTAGTTTCAGCAGGAAAACAAAATCTAAAACAGCTTTGATATTAAGCTATATGAATGTTTATTTGAGGTTATACACACAGGGAAAAGTTGTAAGACATTATTTCTCATATCCACCTGTGTTGCATTGTGAAATGATTGARTACATTTTCACGGACTGACCTTGTTGGGTATATGGGTATATCTATAAGTTATTGAAATCAAATATTATAATTGAATGATACTAAGTAAGGAACCATTGTTGTCTCCATTTTAAAGATGAGAAACTCTGGTTCAGGGAAGTTGAGCACCTTCCCACATTCCTACCCTTCATAAGCTTGGAGCCAAATTCCTAATCTCTAGCTCCAGACTCTGTCACAAACCTGGTGGTGCACTGCCTCTGACCTTTACGTGTACAAATATGTGACTGGTATCGCCCAGATTTCAATTTTCCTGTGTAACTAGGTACATGATCATATATCCTACTTCACTGTCAAACTTAAGTGCTKGCCATGTAGCTGGGTGGTGAAGCATGTGCCTAGCATGCACAAGAACCTGGCTCGATTCCAGCCCTRCACATGCAGGCACTCAAGCGCACGTGCGTGCACATACACAGTTGTCTAGAAATGTTTCCTCCTGTATGGGGACCCTTGCTGGTTACCTCTGTGCCAGGATGAGAGCACCTTGAGGAGTATGGCAGGATGGAGCCGCTGGGTTTGGTAGTCCCCCTCTGCACACCCCTGGCGTCCTCTCCAAGTTGCCAACATGCACCACTTTCAGATGCAAATCCATCACTAGCATCCCTCCCTTGAGCTGGGTGTCTTACTCAGCTGTGTGAATTTGCTGCAGWAATTGAGTGAGCTGAACCATGTGCATGAGAACAAGCCACTCGGGAGCGCTGATCAGTGACCTTGTCCACCTGGTGGGGACGTTGTCTGAACCTTCCAGTTTTGTGTTGCTGTTTTGAAGATGGGGGTCCTCACTTCTCTGCAGTGTCCTTGTGAATCTCAGCTCACAGAGAGCAGAGGCCTGCTGTTGCTCACTCCCCAGCCACCTCACCAAGGAAGCTGCTTTTCCTCACCACGATTCTTGCTTTGCCTCTTCCTAGCATTTATAATATGGCGGTAGCGTCTTTGAGAATTAGAAAATCTGTGTCGATTTCTTTTACAAGGGCATCCTGGACCAGTTTAATCAACAGCATGGGTTCGGACAGCCYTGGCAATGTGGAGCTGAGTTGATTCACCCCTTGCTCCTGAGGCTTTGAGTAGAGACACCTAGGGACACCAACGTACACGCAGCTAAGTCAAAGGCCACATTAGCGTCACTGTCCTTATTTCTAGGCACGAGGACTGGACTTGTCCCGAGTGAGGACCTGTGTGGTGGTGGCAGAAGAACGGCCTCGGATCGCCCTCACGCAGTCCTTCTCTAAGCTGTTCAAGGACCTGGGCCTCCACCCGCGGGCTGTCAGCACCTCGTTTGGCTGTAGAGTGAACCTGGCGATTTGCTTGCAGGTGAGTGTCATTGACACCAACAAGTGCCTGAGTTGAGAGAGTAGCTTTGAATAATGGGCAGCTCAGCCTCCATGTACAGTCCTCAGCTGATACTTAACCTACACAGGAGCTTTCAGTCAAGTGCCTGTGCTCAGTACACACTTGTTTTTTTCTTTTCTAATTGGAGTTGCATTTGTATCCATTGTTCATAACCAGCATTCAAAACACTTACTCTGTCCTGCAGCACTTTACCTTTTGTGGTAGGGTAACACTTCACTCAGACCTCTGCTGTCATTGACTTAGTCTCATACAGACAGGAATTTCTTCAGGGAGAGTTTCGTGGTGCTGAGCACGTTGAGGATCTTGCTGCTATGGCAACAGTGCAAAATAAGGAATAGCAAAGCTGCTTTCCTGTGACATAGGTCATAGGGAGGCAGCTCCTAGCAGGTGGCTTTGTAGTCATTGTGGTGRCCCCTCCAATTTTTTTTCTTTATTGGTCCATTTCTTGACCATCTTGGCTATTCCCTTCCTTTTTGAGCTCTTCCTATGAGATACCTCAGTCTACAGAGGTTATTGTGCAGTGAGAAGGTAAAGGGATGAAAAGTGACTTGAACATAGGGAGTCACATTGGAGGGGTAGTGCAGGAAGCTCTCGGGGACACTGCAGAGGGATGGAATTGCAGGAAGTCCAAAAGCCTTGAGGCAAGACTGGTCCTGGAAACGTTTGTTTTCTTTTAATTGTTGCAGAATTTAAAAACATGATACTGTCAAAAAGGCAAAGGAGACATAACCCAAGTTCTGGAGAGTAGAAGTACCTTCTCTTGTTCCTGTAGCTGTTACTGTAGAACCTGACCATAGTAAATGTGCAGTAAGGAAGATAACCAGAAATGTTTGGGTTTTATATAAATTGAGTTTCTTTTCTTAGGAGTATTTATTTTAGAAAACAAAATCCAAAAATACAAATTAGCTAATGAATAACATTCATATAATCCAAGTACCCGGAGATAATTACAGGAATCACTTAATGTGTAAACTTAGAAACACAAAGGATGCTCTCTAAATTTCCAGCTTATGCCTAATTTAAGGACATTGAAAAATTTAGTTTTCCCCTTGCACAGAATTGCCAGTGTGTGCGAGCTGAGTGCAGGGGAATGTTTGTTTGCAGTTGATCCGCTGTTTGTGACAGCACGGCTTTTTCTGCAACATTCACTATGCTCCCCAACAGAGCTTATGTGTGATGGAGCTTTCGGTAGAGCACCTGGTTTAGAACTAGGGAGGAGATATTACCTCTGGGGTAGGTAGTTAGCTAAGCAATGGTGTAGACAAATGGAGCCCCGTCCACACATTCAAGGGCTTACAAAGTATGTCTTTTGGGGTCGGTGTTCTGTTGGTATCAGTTTGAGAAGGATTTCTTGGTCTCTGGGGAAGGCTGGTACACAGCTCATGGGTTTTTTTGTTGGTTGGTTTTTGTTTTTTCAGAACTTAAAGGCCTTAATAAGCACTTAATGTGTAATATTTACACCTGGGGGGTGGGGATCAATTTTGCCAATGTTGATCAGACACTGATAAGCACTTTTCAGAACCCACCTGATTGATGACATCTTCCAGCTCTTCAGGGATGAGTGAGGGGTTGGTAAACACAGTCCTCTCCAGCGGCTCTCTGGTTCTTGCACTGTCCAGCCTCCAGTGTCTCCCAGTTATACAACTGAGGCCCAACTCCTTTCTCTACCACAGTTGTTGGTGCCTTTGCTTCCCAACACCCAGATTCATGCTGTCCTCTGCCTGAAATGGACTTTGCGCTGTCCTCAGCTGGAGAGAGCCACTTCTCCTTCGGGTCCCCTCCAAATCTTTCCAGATTCCTCTGGTTGCAAGGGTTTCCCTCTTCTGAATCCCAGCATCCCTTCCACTGGCTTCACCTCTGCCATGTCTTAGAACTTCCGACATGGGTGTCTTCTGTCCTGGAGGACCCAGTTCCACTGAGGGTACTTTCACGTCATGTAGTTACTTCTTGATGTAAGTTTCATAAAGGTATTGAAAGTTGATTGTTTTAGCCATCAGTCCTGTGCATTTGAACATGAGTCACATCACACATTAAATGAGTACTTATTTGATTAGAGCCCGGTCTCCTGAGTGACAAGCACATGGCACTACTGAATTTTCTGCAAAATGAGCTCATGGTGTGAACTGCCACCACATAAAAGCCACAGCATTGTATGTAACTCTTCTTTGCAAGTGAAAACCAAGGATTTGCTGTTCTTCAAGCTTCCTGAGCATTTTCAGCTCAAAGAGGAAGTMCTGCTCCTTAAGCAAAAAGACGTTCACACAAAAAACCCTGCAGTGCAGTCTCTAACAAATGCTTTGGACTCTTTAAGTCAGAKAGAATCTTATTAGAGCCTCCAACATCCATTGGGGGAAAGTTGAGTCATTTCATTTTAACACAAGAATAATGAAGGCCCTTGAGTGAACTTTCCCAACAAAGCTGTGAAGTAAAAACGGAAAGAAATGGAGAAGTTGGTGCCATTTGCATTCCTTAGGAATGTCATTCATTCCCCAGCATGTTGAGCTGTAAAAATGACTTCATTTCATTTGTTGAATTTATGATGAAATTGGATGTTGGAGCTGTGTTTAATTGGCTTTAACAGAAAATTTTCATAGTACTATGAAATCGTGTCACATGTTTATTAACCTCTGTTTGAAAAGACATTTCTCACAGCCACAATTCCTCTTTAAAAATAAAAGCTGGAAGGTCTTCGATTGCGTTAGATATGTGACAGAAAAATTTCCATTCTCCTTCCAGCAGAGGAAGGGAAGGGAGGTTTTCTATTTTCTACAAGAGACCTGTTTCTTTTTTCTTCCTTTTTTTTTTTTTTTTTTTTTTGGTACTGGGGATTAAACCAGGGACACTTTACTGCTCAGCCACATCTCTAGTTCTTTATGCTTTTTATTTTGAGACAGGGTCTTGCCAACTTGAGGGTCTTTTCAAGGTTGCTGAGGTTGGCCTCAAACTTGGGATCCTTCTACCTCATCCTCCCCAGTTAATGGGATTACAGGACTGCACCACTGCACTCAGCAGTTGTTTCTTTATTAAGTAAAAAACTTATAGAGGAGCTTTGATATTTATTGCATAGAAAAACAATGGTTATTTGAGATGAACGTTTCATTAAAATGGCTTCATCTGATTAAATCAATAATAGTAGTTCTAGTCAATCATCAGTCTCAAAACTTGCACAAAGGAAAATACAAATACTCGGGTGATAGAAGTTGTCATTGTTAAAATGAATAAATCTTAAGCAATTCTCAAATATTTCCAAGACTTTCATTAATGTGAACTTTCAGCTCACTTGTTTCCTCCYACCCCATCGCTTTTAGATAAGGAAAGTAAAAATAAATAAGATATTGTCAGGGGTTTGTGTGCTCTAGGGAATTAGTCACATTCGGCTGACATTTTTACATCCTCTCCTACTGATACATGTTGTCCCAGATAATGGAAACTAATATTTGAGATCACGGAAACTGTATTCTCAATYACTCAGTGTATCAGCCGGCATTCTAATTTATAAGCAACAGAAACCACCTCCAGCAATTTAAGTTTCAAGGAATGTACTAGAACATCACTAGGCAGCTCTCCATTCACAAGGGGGCTGGAGGGCCAGTGTCGGGGCTGGGCAGCAAGAGTGGCTTGTGCATGTCACAGTGGCCTTTGAAGGGCAGCTGTGCCCTAAGCCGGCTCTTGCACCCCATCCTGGCCCAGCCTCCCCTGCACCTCCATCTGTTAAGACCCCTTCAATGCCGGAAGCCAGAGGCTAGTGGTTTCTTCTGGCCATGGCAGGGTTCTCTTATCTCCCCACCTCAGCTTCCACGACAGCTGGGAAGAGAGCCTCTGCTTCTGGGACCTTGAGTTCTGTTGAGGGGCTCTGTGTTCAGCAGGCCTCAAAAARTGGGGGAGTTCCCAATATAGCAAGAATTGAGATGCCTGTTGACAAAAAAAGGAATGACAGACGGCACCTTCAGCTGCCCAGCGTCAACCCACATTCCCATTCTGACACATCTCTCCACCCTTCCCCTCAAAAAAGCCACCGTAATGCAGCCTCACTTTTACTTGCGTGAACACACTCGCTGTCCAAGATGGAAACAAGCTGAGGTTTCCAGTTGAGGGTTTTCTAGGTGATGTTGACTCCTCCTCCAGTTCTGCTACGTGTAGAAAAGACTGTGAAATTCCCTTCCATGAACAGACTCCCTGAAAGGGAGAGAAGGGTGTTGAACGTTCATCCATCAACTCTTTTGGATGTYTGGTGTGAGCAAGGAGCTGGAGGTCACCGCACTGGACAGTTAGTGTTGGATGTACCAGGTGCTCAAAGGCCCCTTCCAATGGTACCTTTAGGAATGTGGGAATAACCATGGGAACAGTTTAAGGTCCCAGTACACAATGACGAAATATCTGAGGTAACATCACAAGCTTCAACGCTTTGGTTTTGTGTCACAGGAGTAGATGGTTGCTTATCACAATCATAGAAATTCCTGGGTGTAGTCTGTGCCTTGAGTCAAGAAACCAGAACCAAGCTGGTCATTCATTGAGTTCAGCGGCACCAAGAGAAATGGCTTCTTGGCGTCACAGTCTGAGCGCTTTCCTGGTGTTCTGTGGCTCACGCGTCAAATAAGCAGGAGCCCTCACTGGGCACTCTTTACTGAAGGGTCAGAGAGTAAGGATCTGGGCCTGCCATCCATATGGCCTTTTCACAGCTGCTGAGCTCAAAGTAGAACAGACAGTGTGTGGAAAGCAGGCACGACTGTGCCCCAGCCAAATGCTGCAGAGCAGGCCAGCCCATGCACCGATCCCTGCGGGTGGGTTCAGTGGCCATCGCACCAGTGGATGCCCTGGGCTGCCAGATCCACGGTGAGCAGGATTTTCCCTGCCTTCGGGTCCTACCAGAGAAATCGGTTTAGACCCACATTTCCCTGACCCCTCATGCTTCAGATAGAGCCCTAATATCCAGAACAAAGAACTAAAAAAATTAAACAATA